TCTAATGTAAGAGCAGAGTGGAGGGAGAGATTGATAAGGGAAGCTTTGTTCATCGAATCAACTGCAAACACGTGTAATATTATTATTATTATTGTATCCTTTAGTTCCTGGAGGAACATAGGGCTTCAGCTGCGCACCTCCATTGCCTTCGGTTTTCTGACAACTTTTTCAACCTGCTCCAGGTCTGTCCACATACTTTCATCTCCTCCTCGCATGACCTCCTCCAAGTCACCCTTGGACGACCAACTCGCCGCCTCCCTTTCGGGTTCCACTCGAGGGCTTGTCTAGTGATGTCGCTTGATGGTTTCCTCAGCGTATGGCCAATCCATCTCCATTTCTTTCTGCCTATTTGTTTCACAATCGGTTCCTGATTGGTTCGCTCCCAGAGATCCCTGTTGCTGATCTTTTCTGGCCATCTGATCTTGAGTATTGAGCGGAGACAGTTGTTAATGAAGGTTTGAAGTTTGTTTGAGATGCTCTTTATGACTCGCCAAGTCTCTGATCCGTATAGTAGCACTGACTTCACATTGGAGTTGAAAATCCGGATCTTATTTTTGATGCTGTAATAGGATGCGTGTAATAGGAATGATTTAACACCTGTCCAGCCGGAGATCTGGAAAATCCCACTACCTCTACGAAAAATGGGAGAGAACAAGCAGAACAATTAGACTCATGTTTTGAAGTCGTGTGATTATAATTGATGATATGATTATGAACAATAAATTTTGTTCAAAATGTCATCCACTAATTGATAAGCAAACTGATATAGAATTACTTACTACCAACACAGTGCCCAACGCAAGTATTACACATATTTCAACATTTTCATGTTGGAAAATTTTTAGTGGAGATTTTAACGTCTATTGCACTGGCGGCTAATGTGCAACGTGGGGTACCGACTGTATTTGTAATGCAATGGAAACCGATACAATGCCACTAAACAAGTTTCTTTTTCTTCTTTTTCAGAAAGAAACGGTGATGTGGCATCATTGGAGCAAGAGGAAGACCAGTTATCAAAGCTTGTTATAAATGGTGATAACTAACTTGTACCCGGGTAATTTGAGTCCGGCTTCCTTTAAGTAAAGTGTGAGGATATACGCTATAACCAGGTGTTATCGCGCAGCGACATCGGTTACCGCGTTCACGGCTACAGGCGTTATAATCGCCTAATTTTTGGGAAATAGATCATATTTGACTAGTTTTAGACTTCTGGAGCCAGACGGCAGTATTTTGTTCGTAGTAAAGCGTAAAATTGTATATTATAGCTCGGACGGATTATCAATAAAGAAGTCATCCTTTTTAAGAAAGTTCGCATAGAAAGACTATTATTTGTACCGTCTTTGCCTTCTTCTCCACCCGTCGTGCTTGTGGTCTGTGTGCCTTACATATTCAAATCGGATGTCAATGCTGTGAGATTTATCAGGAATCTTCGATTTTACTTTGATGAATAGGGATCCAAGTTTTCTCAGGCTGTTGGGAATATTGTTCGTCTGATATTTTGGTATTTGCCTGGTAATCAAAGGAGACAGGAAGAGATTTGTAATGTGTAGTTGATTGAGCTAACATTCTGATTAACTTTTTCTATGTGTGTAAAAGTATATAAACTGAAAGATGCACTTATTTATGTGTATATAATTTAAGGAGGAGATTGAATACAAGAATAAATTATTGCTTCGAGGTGTTTCTTTTGTATTGATTAGTGAACGTTTCTTTATGATTTTTCTGTCTACTTGTGTGTGTAACCATTTGGCATTCAAGTGTTGGTTACCAGGAATTTTTTTGGTTACATGATTTGGTGATGAGCTTATACAGGCTAGAGAATTATTGGAGAACGTGAGAGTACTGAAAGCTGTTTCATGCTGATTTGAGACTGTTTGGGAATACCACCAACTGAGGTTCGAATGCAGAGACGTCCTGGTGACAAGGCGAACTGGTAGATTGTAAAGCCATTCGGATCCAATCCCATGGCCAGTCCATATATGTATTCGAACTTCTTGGAATTGAGGTTAGCGTTCGACCGTTAGGGAATGTCATTCATTGGTGGTGAGTATTTGTTGTCACCTGAGACCTGCTGTACCCCACTGGTCACAATTTGTGTTCACTTTAGTGTTTGAGATGTATTGATAAATGTGTTGAATGGTTTTTAGGTAGCGGTGTTGTTGTGTGGGGACTGAGCAAACTAACTGAGCAGTATTCAACAGTCGCTTTCATTTCCACATAGTTGACGATGAGCTACACATGTTGTGTTGATGGCTATCTCGAACGTCGATGTTGGGTGATTCGGTGTTCGAACTGTTAGCTTGACAGATGTTTTACTGGGGACATCTGGTTTGGACATCGTCATAACGAAGCGATTACTTGGTATTTATGAGCATTGGAGGACTGTTATTTTCATTATTGAGTGGTGTTGAGGGGCTATACTAGGATGAGTAATATTGTGGTTAGGCTCCGTTGGAGTGGTGGGCAAGGAGGAGAAATCAGTCGACCAGGTGAAGCTACAGTGATTGAGATGACTAGAAGAGGTATTATGCTTGCTTAACCATTTTATATGACAAGAAATGTTAGCTGACAATGGTTGGATCAGGTTGGCAGAGAGGTAGCTAGTTGTGGTCAAACGAAAACATGGCTTTGTCGGTCGATGAAATGCACAAGATTTAGTTTGAGCCAGCCAGTCAGTCACATAGCGAGGTGTAAACTGTTTGAGTTGTTGGGGTGTTTGTGATGGTAAGAACTAAGATAACTAAGGTATATTGATTTTTTGTGATTTGTGGTATTCCGTCAAAGTGTACTGTTCCTGCTCATTACTATTGTTTGTTTCCTAACTCACACTTGTGTTTATTATGTGTGTTTGATTTGTTCTGTTGCTTTGTGTGGTACATGTAGGGAGTGTGTGTGGAGTTGAACTGGTGCACATCTGTGCAAAGTTCTGTGTGGAAACCAGTCAGTTAGTCAGTCAGTCACCAGTTTAAGTGTTAGAAGAATAATAATCAAACCCTGGGAAATGTCTATTTTTGTAATACTAAATTGTATTAATTAAGGCGAATGACCTGATAAATGGAGAATACAGGAGAATTATTATTAGAATTTCTGCGATCTTAACTAATCTCATCTGTTGATATTGCTTGCTGTAAGTATAAAACTCGGGCACTGTGCTAGTTAGTAGAGTATAACTGACTCCATTATGGATAAGATTTTATGTAGGTGAATTCCACAGTGTATGTTATTCAGGTAATCTTACCTGATGAGCGATAAATTTGTGCTCGAAACGTGGTCATTAGTTAAGATACAACTGTACAACTATACTGTGTGATTTATCAAAATAAAATCTCCATAGTGGAGTCAATCGCACCTTCTTTTAGTGTATGATCGCGGACACTGTGGTCGTATAAAAAGGCATTCACGTGTCTTTGCTTGAATGACTACATTGTTTCACAGTGTAGTGTTTTTTTATTTGTTATAACTGGTGAAGGATAAAATGAGGAGAAATTAATGGTGAGTGTCACGAATCTCGTCTAAGGAATTTCAGTCCCCACGCAGAGAGAGAGAGATCAACTGAAGTGGAGAGAGATTAAGATGAAGTGATTGATGAGTAAGCACTCAAGAATATGCGTAAAATAATAAAGTATTGAAATTGCAGAGGGGAAGATAGTGTGTATGTGGGTGAATTCTACATAGGGACCTCCATAAACGACATGTAACGACCAGTGTCGGGTGGACACTTAAGTCTTCCTCACTAGATGTTGCGGTATGGCCACGCGTTCATATCCTGCGCCATGAGAGTCGTATTTTTGATTGTCTTCAGGCGAAGACGGTCGAATGCGATCGTTTGGCGTTTACAATATTGGGACTGATGGACATCGACTTGTACCTAGAGAAACTGGGAAACCTTAATTCCAAACCTGTTGTATATATAGATTGGTGGAGAATCCGAATAAATCAAATGTCATGAAGTTTGTTTGGTTACAGGGTGGCATGGAGACGCTGCTCTTGTTGTCACCACTCAACTGCCTTATAGATCACACTGCTAGTCATAATCTCGTGGTATCGCCGTTTATGATAACCATCTGCTTTGGTGTGTAGGCGAGATTTTGTGTGGTAAATGCCTTGTTGCCTTATGATTTGGCGACCATACCACATTGAAAGCACCGGTTCTCGTCCGATCACCGAAGTTAAGCAACGTTGGGCCCGGTTAGTACTTGCATGGGTGACCGGCTGGGAATACCGGGTGTTGCCAGCTTGTTTTTGTGCGTCGGTGGCACAGTGGTTAGGACTCTCGCCGACCATGCACATGGTCCGGGGTTCGAGCCCACGCCGACGCACATCTGATATCTATGGTCGGCCTGCGAATTTTGGGCTACCGATATCCACGCAGAAAATTCCATACTTGTACCAAAAATACAGTGTGGAATCAAGCTGTAATCAAAAATAAAAAATAAGAAAAAAAATTGAATTTTGAGTTACCGAATTGTTACGTTTCAAAAGTGTTGTCAGCTAAAGTGTTCATACTATTATTTAGATGCCTGACAGTTGAATTAACTTGACGGTCGCGCATGTAGATTGGAAAGTGCTCTTGAGATATAACACCAACGAATTTTTCGATCATACACTATGTAATCGAAATTTGCGTTATGAGCCGTAATATATGGTATAGCTTATGTATCTATACCTCAGTTATCCAGTACTGATAGTGTCCAGCTGCCCAAGCTGAAATAGGTGGAGACGGGCTCGAATTTGAAACGCATTGACTAAATGTCGGGCACTTAAGCCATCGAACCAGATGTCCATTTAGCTGACACAACTTTGGAAGATTTAACCGTAGTATATTTCCGCGTATGAAAGCAGCAATAGATGCATATGAAACCCTTTGGATGAACCAAACAGGGTCCTATTCTCTTTTGTCGTAGGAAATTCATGGCATCTACGAATTCTATTTATGAGTATTTATCATGACGACGTTTTTGGTGAGTATGGAGCTGATGTTTTTTATTTTCTACTTTTTAGAATTCCCATTACTCCTGATAGTATGAAATGAAAATGGGCCGACATTTTAATAAATGTGGTGGACTAGTTTCCTTTCGAAAAGCCAAAGCAAAGCAAACCGTTGAGGAGGCGAACAGAATTTCTGATATAAAAACTGAACTGAATGTGTCTTTTCAACCTCCTGATAATCTGAATGTGATAAGTGATGGTATTCTTACAGTCGAATGTATACGAGCTTCTAAAGCGGACGAGGCGGTTATCGATGAATTAATGAGTCTACTTCAACAAAATATGCAAGTAATTCGTTGGATTTTTGAGGAAAGCGAAATTCTGATTTCTTTTTTTTGTTTTTTTAGGATATGTACACAGCCTCTTCATGGGGTTGGAATGCTCAGATGAAAAGAGATGAAGCCTTCTCTTCGAAATCTTGGCTGATTATATGTCGTAAGAGTGTGTCGTCTGCCACACCTGAGGGGTGTTGTTGTTCAACAGTTGGTTTTGTCAGCTTTCGATTTGAACGTGAAGGAGAACATCCTGTTTTATACTGTTATGAAATTCAGTTATATCCTCAATATCAACATTTACATGTTGGAACATTTTTAATGGAGATTTTATCGTCTATTGCCCTGGCGGCTAATATGCATCGTGTTGTATTGACTGTATTTAAATCGAATGTGAATGCTGTTAAATTTTTTAGAAAACTTGGATTTCAAACTGATAAAACAGATCCTTCGATATTTGAAGGTTTTAGCACTGTTGACTATCTGATTTTATCGAAACTGACTGGTAATCAGTAGGGAGAGGTTGAGAGGGAGAGAGAGAGTTGTAATGTCTGGTTGATTGAGTTAATATTCTAAATGATACTGTTTCTGTGTGCGTAAAACTATATGAACTAAAAGATGCATTTATCTATGTATATATATTTTTAAGAAAAGATTGTATACAAGTATAAATTATTGTTTCAATGGGCTTATTTTGTATTAAATAACGAACGTAGTTGTAATTTTTCTGTGTAGTTGCGTGATGAACTTGTTAGCATTGAGGTGTTGTTTAACAGGGATTTGTTTGGTTACATGATTCGATGATGAGCTTATACAGGCTAGGGAATTTTTTTTTTTATTTACAGCTTGATTCCACACTGTATTTTTGGTGCAAGTATGGAATTTTCAGCATGGATATCGGTAGCCCAAATTTTGCAGGCCGACCATAGATATCAGGTGTGCGTCGGAGCTGGCTCGAACCTCGGACCATGTGCATGGTCGGCGAGAGTCCTAACCACTGTGCCACCGACGTAAGAGTACTGAAAGCTGTTTCATCCTGATTTGGGAATACCACCAACTGAGGTTCGAATGCTGCAGGGATGTCCTGGAAACAAGTCGAATTTGTAGATTGTGAAGCCATTGGGACCCAATCCCATGGCCATCCCATATAGATTCGAACTTCTTAGAATTCACGTCATCGTTCTACCGTTAGGCGATATCATCCATCGGTGGTGAGTACTAGTCGTCGCCTGAGACCTGCTGTATCCCACTGGTCACGAGTGGCATTGAATTTGGTGTTTGATATATATTGATAACGGTGTTGAATAATTTGAATGTACCGTTGTTTTTGTTTTCGGACTGAGCGAATTAACTGTTAGCAGTATTCAGCAACCACTTGCATTTCCATACAGTTGACGATGAGCTACACATGTTGTGTTGATGGCCATCTCCAACGTCGATGTTGGGTGATTCGGTGTTCGAACTGTTAGCTTGACAGATGTTTTACTGGGGACATCTGGTTTGGACATCGTCTTAACGAGGCAATTTCCTGCTATTTATGAGCGTTGGAGGACTGTTATTTTCATTATTGAGTCGTGTTGAGGGGTATAATTGGGTGAGTAATATTTAGGTTAAGCTTCGGTTGATTTTTGGGTATCGTGAGAATGTCATTACATGTGGTTGTGAGGCTACATAGATCAGGATGTTTAGAACATGTGTTACTTATGCCTTACCAAGCATTCCAGTTTTGTCCAGAGTTAACCCTAGAGTCGATTTGTTTGAGAATAGAACCCAAAGTTGGTGGGAAACTCTGTCTAAGGCGGAATACTTACACGAGTCCAATAGTAAAGAAGTGTCATGGGGAAAAGTTGTAAGTACTTCGTAGAAAATGAGTGAAACCTCTCCAAGGCAAACGCGTGGGTGGGACTGAACTACGACGATCCTTGAGAATTTCGTTGGTGATTGAGTGAATAATAAATAAGCTCAGAACGCCGTATTCTTTTATTTCCATCTCTTAGTTCTAAGATGTTTATGTGTTTACCATTTTTAAAAGATAATGTCCCTATTAATAGATAAACATTTAATCATTGGTAAATTCCCAATAGGTCTGCGGCAGAACATCGTCATTGTATTCACACCTATCATTTTTTAAAGCTGAATCTGCGACTGCTTATAGGCTTTCATTTACCCTTCGCATATATCTCCATTTTAGCCTCGAACGCCAAACTCATCTCTTTCTGTTTGGCTCTCATTCGACGGTTAGATGTGTTATATCATATGTATGTCTCTTCAGCGTTTTGTCCAATCCATCTCCGCCTCCTTTTGCATATTTGTTCCGTAATAGGTTCTGTAAACGAAAATGTGCTCTTACGACTTGATCACGGATTGATATCAGTTAGAGAAACATTGAAAACAAGCAGGGAGTACTGTCAAACAGCTGTTTCATGGGCCATTGAATCGGGTCCCAGTGGTGGCTGAATGGTATACGAGCCAGCTCGCTTTGTAACCGGAAGGTCCTGGATTCGAACCCCAGTGGTCTGTCTATCTGTCTGGATTCAACATAGAACTTGATACCGAAGTACAGCAATTCGAGTTGCCACATTCCAACTAGCACACAAAGGTAGACAAGATGACGAGTGAAGAGAATCAATAGAGTTTGACAAGTATAATAGTGAAACAGAATTGGTAATGGTAGAAAGGAATATGAGAGATTACAGAGACTGAATACACCTGTGCCGTTGTCAACGATTTTGAGCCATGTCACCTATTGTCTCCAGCCATTGATTCTTAGAGTCAGTCCCGAGGGCCCCAACCCGGAAGTCTGCATCTCCCTACCTGACTCAGTTTAACTGTCAAGGATTTCATTGATTGATGTCATCTTTTTGTTTGGTCATCACTTACTCTTTTCCAACCTGCACCTATATCAGCTAGTAATGCCCGTCGGGGGAGGTGATGGTTAGACATGCGCAGCACGTGACCTAGCCATCTCAATCTATGTGACTTTATAGCCTCGTCGATTGATTTTCCCTCTTTGCCCAACACTCTACGCCTAACGTCAACATTACTTAGCTTATTATACCACCTAACATGAGAAAGAGATCGTAGACATCTATGATCGAAAGCAGTCAACCTTTTCATGTCTTCAACTCGTATTGGCCATGTGTCAGAGCCATAGAGAAGGACGGAGCGATTTGCTGAGCAGTACACACGTCCCTTGGTTGATAGCCGGATGTCACGCCTACGCCAGAGATGCTGTAAGTTAGCGAAAGCATATATATATTGCGACAAAACGAAAGCACGGTTTCAAATACAGGCAGAAGGGATGCAGACATCAAAGTCAGCCAGAATCGGAAAGGAAGGATACGACTTCATTAACCTGAAACCAGCTTAGAAATCCTCTGGACTGCACTCAGCCAGCATAAACAGCAACATTCGGTTTCTGTTTAACTCAAAATGTGAAGTCAGTCGGTTCTTCTACACGGGTCAGGAACTATCAGTGTGTGTCACGAAAAGGGTTTACAACAGCCTGTTGCAGACTTTTATCAATGGCTGTCTTAACTGAATCCATACTGAAGATCAATTAACCAGGAAGAATTTCATACAATGATTCCCTTTTATAAATTTGAACAAAGCAAGAAAGAAAGAATAAACATTGTCACAGAATAATCTGGATCCATTTTATTTCGTTGGTTCTAATCAGCTGTGTACAACCTGAACTTTTTAATAAAATAAAAATAAAGTGTACAATTTTAACGAACCCTTGTCGATTAGCAAGCGTATTATCAGAGCGTCATAGTAAAATAAGGCGTTGCGATTTACAGGGTGTCTTAAGTGTTACGACATATACATATATATAGTTAGAGAAGTTTCTTGAAAAAACATTAATTAACAGTTGTGTTGTTGGGACGGTAACAAAACACAATTAGTAATAGATACGTAAATAGATAAGAGAAGATCAAAATTTTAAAATTTCGGTGCACATGAGGTCAGATGAGAAGTTGATGATGTAATACAGTGAGCAGAAATCAGAAGATCAAGAAAAATTATCTCCTAAGAGATTCAAGCAAAAAATGAAGGGGGAGGGGAGTGAAAAGACAAGTTAACAAAATTAGAAAACAAAGAGTTACTAAGAAGTGAGTCACCAGGGTAATTGCAGTCCAACCACGGATTCTTTTTGGACACATAAGTCAGGCTTCAATCGTTTTATTGCTGTAACTTCAGCAAACCTGAGAAGACTTGAGGTAATTTGTCTGTTGGTTATTTTGAATGATTCCACCACATCTACTCGGTGTCCTGTGTCAATCAGGTGTTTGGCGATTGAAGAGCTTAAAACATTCGGTCCCTTTAATCGGAGACACCTTGGTGCATGTTGGCAGAATCTGATGTAGACCCTCCTCTCTGTTCTTCCAATGTAACTGCTCCCGTAGATACGTGTGAATTGGTATACACAGTTGGAGGTAACATGTGAGGGGTACTTGTTAATCTTTGATTGCACCAGTGAAGAGGTTGTTGGGGATAGAGAGATTAATAACGCTGCAGGATACGTCCTAGACAGGGCTGCGCCTAATCTCTTATTTACCATTCTCATAATGTCGTCGCTGTTGTAGTCAATTTTGATTAAAATGGACTTCTTACTGACTGTAGCTATATATATATATATATATATAGGGCTTCAGCTGCGCACCTCCATTACTTTCTGTTTTCTACCAACTTTTTCACACCGCTCCAGGTCTGTCCACATGCTTTCATCTCCTCCTCGCATGACCTCCTCCGAGTCAACCTCGCACTGTCGACCAACTCACTGCTTCCCTTTCAGGTTCCACTCGAGCGATGGCTTGTCTAGTGATGTCACTTGATGGTTTCCTCAGCGTATGGCCAATCTATCTCCATTTATTTCTGCCTATTTGTTTCACAATCGGTCCCTGCTGTGTTGGTTCGCTCCCAGATATCCCTGTTTCTGATCTTTTCCGGCCAGCCATCTGATCTTGACTACTGAGCGAAGACAGCTGTTGATGAAGGTATGAAGTTTGTTTGAGATGCTCTTCATGACGCGCAGTGCAAGTGTCTGATCCGTATAGTAGCACTGACTGGCTTCACATTGGAGTTGAAAATCCGGATCTTATTTTGATTTTCATGCTGAGTGCTGTTGACCTCTACACAGACTTGAGAGTAATGAAAGCTTGTCTTGCTTTTCCGATTCTGGCTTTGATATCCTCGTCAGTTCCGTCACCTGTAGTTGAAACGATGCTTCCCAGGTAGGTGAAGGAAGTTGTTTCTTTCAGGTTCCTCCCATTTATACTGGCTGATTGTTGTCTGTTGTTGTTGTTGTTGCTGTTGATGTTGTCTAGGAATCTTCATCACCTCTGTTTTATCTATGTTCACTTGAAGTCCTATCTTTGATGCTTCTTGTGCCAACTTGTTGCTTTTCACTTGCATATCTTCCAGTTTGTGGGAAACTAGACATATACCATCGGCTAAGTCCAGATCCTCCAAGTCTTTTGTGTGAGTCCATTTTATATATATATATATATCCTAACACTTAAGACACCCTGTAAATCGCAACGCCTTATTTTACTATGACGCTCTGACAATACGCTTGCTAATCGACAAGGGTTCGTTAAAATTGTACACTTTTTATTTTTATTTTATTAAAAAGTTCAGGTTGCACACAGCTGATTAGAACCAACGAAATAAAATGGATCCAGATTATTCTGTGACAATGTTTATTCTTCGTTTGTTCAAATAGCCAGAAAGGAATAGCTACACGAAACTCTGTCTGGGAACAGACCAACGAAGAGATGACTGCTCAACAAAAATATGTAGAAGAAAATGGGGATGAATCGGACGTACGATGAGGAAGCCGTCGAATGACATTGCGCGCAGTGCAGGCCATTGCCCGAGTGGAATCCCAATGGGCTGCGACGAGTGTATCGTTGGTTAAGAGGGTGACATGGAGGGGATCATGTGAAGTGGAGATGTGTCAGCCTATGTGTAGTTGTGACGCCGTTTTTAGGAGGACTTCCGAGGACAGGACAAATTAGAGATTTCGTGTTGAGACCCTATGCTGTACTCTGTACTCAAGAGAATGATAATAGAATTAGGTTGGAAAAAAGTGCACATTAGTCAAATCAAAACTTTCCATCAATCCATAAAATCTTTGACTTTTGTGTTGAGTCAACCATGTAGTGAGGTGTAGACTGCCTGGCTTGAAATCCTCAAGATGCTAAGAAACAAATCCATGAAGGTTATTGGTAATATGGTGTTATGTACTCATCGAGTAGTTAATAAGTCCTGACGTGGAAAGAGGGAAATCAGAAGACCACGAGGTCTACGATGATACTTGTATTTTCTAGACAAGGAAAATAAATGTCACACAAGAGTGTGAGTGAATGGTACTTAGATGTACGAAATGTGTGTGAACCAAAATAATGTACAAGTGTCTAATAAAAAGTATATATGAAAATGGCTAATACATATGGACCAATAAAATAACGTCTTACCATGATTGGTTGTAATGTCATGTGATAACAAAGTCATACATTGTTTATTTAGTTAGTGGACAGACAAAAGCGTATTGTTATAATGTTATAATCAAATATCGATCCATATGCACATAGGAAAATATAACAGACTGTCAAAAACAAAACACACATCATGTGGATACACATCATATGTTTCAAATGCGTTCTCAATAACTTAGATACATTTACCCTCTACAATGTCCCAAATCTCTTAGATCTTAATGTTCACCCATCAATTTCTGCTCACTAAAGTTCTTTTGAGTTAAATTCCTTCCTCCAATTTTTTGTGTGGAATAGTGGTGTGGCAAGCTGAGCTATATTACACTTCTGTGCAAAGTTCTATGTGCTGAAAGCCAGCCCAGTCAATCGGTCAGTCAGTTAGTCAGTCAGCCTTGCCATTTATACACAAATAAAAAAAGTAGCTAAGCTGTAAAACTAATATACATGTATTAAACTTATGAATATGTATTGAAGAATATAATATATATATATATATATATATATATATATATATATATATATATATATATATATATATGGTCTTCTATATACTCCATAAATCTCTTAGTTTTTTGAAATAGAGATTAAAACTTGTAGCATTACACATCTATTCATGTTGAAATAATCAATTTCTGTTGTCCTGATTATCGATTCATTACTGATTAGATTGGTCTACCAGATCTGAATCCTTTCACCGGATTCTTTATCCATATTCCACATGTGCTAGAAATTATTAAAATAAAAAAGAAAGACAATCCATTATTAGTGGCACTTTACGAAATGATTAAATGTTTATCTATTACTATGGGGATATCATCTTTTAAAAATGGTAAACACATAAACATCTTAGAACTAAGAGACGGAGCTTATTTATTATTCACTCAATCATCAGCGGAATTTCCAAGGATCGTCGTAGTTCAGTCCCACCCACCCGTTCGCCTTGGAGAGGTTTCATTCACTTTCTACGAAGTACTTAAAACTTTTCACCATGACACTTCTTTACTATTGGACTCGTGGGCTACCTTCTCAGACAACCTGACTATAGGGTTAACTATGGACAAAATTGGAATGCGTGGTCTCTATCCCCGCAGGCCTTTCACTCTCTTAAGACGCGAACACTATACTGTACTTACTACCGAACTTGTGTCAGAAAAAATCTGAACACCATATTTCCGTGCCGTCAAATAACCACAGACGTCGATGCTGGTCTGAATTAGGAATCCTGACTGAAATAGGATTTACTATTGAAAGTATAATATTAGAGTTTTAAATCAGAAGCACAAATAACTTACAAAATGAATTAATAAAGAAAGCCAGGATAAATTCAATACGGAGATCTAGGGATATGGTTCTTAACGGCGACCAGCAGTTTGTACAGCTATAAACTCGTGGATAGACTGGAATTGATACTAGTCGTTAGCGGAGAAGTTTGGTAGTAGGCACACATGGCAGTAATTGCGTATTTTCCTGTTTCCTATTCACTCTTCCTGATATTATCTGAACCGAATTGATCAGGCTCATTTCAGCAATATGGATTCCTAAAACGGATGCTTCACTGTCACCATGATTAATAACCTGAAACTGGTTGTTTTGTGGTAGTCAGATCTTGGATTTTGTCTATTCTTTCTTTATTGCTCATCCTTAATTTCTCTTGATCTATTTAAGAAATATGTTTTACATTGCATTGGTTGGTAAAAGCTGTTGGGAGGGTGGGAAGTATGTCTGTAGGGCAACTCAATGATAAACTCATACAAGAGATTGGCGAAAGTCATCTTCAGTTTCATTTATGAACTGACTTTAGTCAAAGGACCATTGAAAACCAGGAAGTTATTTATAATATTATAGAGAAGATTTGTAGCTCAGGTGGATGATTTTGATGTGGTTTTGTTCTCTGAGCTGGATGGTTAGTTTGCGAAGCTTTCATCACCTTACTGGGTGACATCTTCAGCGCATACTTCAATTTGAAGTGAGCTTTTAGATTTCTCCACGAGTTTATTAATCATCTCTCCTGGTGACCTTGGACGTGATTGGTTGTTTGTGTGTGTTTTCACACCTTCTAGTTAACTTGTATTGGAACCGGTTGTTTCTTTGACTTGAATTTTGACCCTTTGTCTGTGAAGTTTCTTTCTTATTGGTTGATAAATTTTGTCCATGTCGATGTGTCTATTGATTGATGATCCACTGGAATGCCAAGCTTCTAAAAATCCTCTGGCATTCTTGTTATTTCCTTTGTCTAATATTTGAATGTTGTCCCAGTCGAATTGATGTCCGTAGTTGTCTGTGTGTAGTGAAATGAGGGAGTGGATATCATGTCTTTTGACGGCTAGCTTATGTTCGTGGATACGAAGACGAAGGGGACGTCCACTTTGGCCGATGTAGTGTTTTTCGCAGTTGTTACAGTTTATTTTGTAGATGATGTTGGTTTTATCTTCTTTCGCTGTTGAGTCTTTTGGTTGACATAGAATTGAGTGAAGCGACTTTGTTGGTTTGTGTACGACGTCAACTCCTAAAGGTTTGAAGAGTCTTGTAGTGATTTCTGAGATATCTTTTATATATGGTAAGGCAATTTTCTTTGTGTTCTCCTTGGCGGCTTTTGCTTTGGTAGGTTGGCTTGGGGGTATATGTCTTCGTATCCACGAACATAAGCTAGCCGTCAAAAGACATGATATCCACTCCCTCATTTCACTACACACAGACAACTACGGACATCAATTCGACTGGGACAACATTCAAATATTAGACAAAGGAAATAACAAGAATGCTAGAGAATTTTTAGAAGCTTGGCATTCCAGTGGATCATCAATCAATAGACACATCGACATGGACAAAATTTATCAACCAATAAGAAAGAAACTTCACAGACAAAGGGTCAAAATTCAAGTCAAAGAAACAACCGGTTCCAATACAAGTAACCTAGAAGGTGTGAAAACACACACAAACAACCAATCACGTCCAAGGTCACCAGGAGAGATGATTAATAAACTCGTGGAGAAATCTAAAAGCTCACTTCAAATTGAAGTATGCGCTGAAGATGTCACCCAGTAAGGTGATGAAAGCTTCGCAAACTAACCATCCAGCTCAGAGAACAAAACCACATCAAAAAGTTATTTATAATCTTCTCAGGGATAAAGTTCGAGATTTTCAAGTTACAAGGCGAGCTTGTAGAACTTTCAGCTACTGGAAAAGAATTCTAACTTTTACCAGCTTACGATATAACGCCACCTTCAGCCAATGTCACCAATCAATATCTGTCCACACACCATATTCGGTGGACCCTTGTGGTCACAACTTCTCAAAAGGACTTCAGACATCTTCGCCAATTTGTGATCAAAATTGACACCAATAAAATCCCTTCAAACAAATAATAATGTATATAATTTTCAATATTATTTGTTTCAAATTTTTTTACATTTGCCGGTTGACTGATGTTCACTTGATTGGAATGCTCGGTCATGTAAATAACTATATTTTAATCTTTAAGCATCATGGAAGCAACTGTACTAGGAGGTGACACGACACCAGAGATTGAGTATTTCAATCCGGTAGACATCAAATTGCGGTAGAACTAACCCATTCATATATTTTAAAAGTTTTCTTCCAATCCAATATGACAAACACTAAGCCTGAACATCGTTCAATGGAGTATGGAGAATTTGTTCTAAATGACATTTGAATATGAAATAAACACCCTAACGGATATTTTATCTAAGATCGGATATCCTGGGAGATTCATCAATAAGTAACTTTAAAAAATTAAACCCCAGTACAGCTATCCGAACAGTTTCAAAGAAAATCTGTATAATATCAGTCTACCATTCAAAGGAGATGATGTACAAGAAGTAGTCAGACGAAGACTTGATAAAAATATTGGTAGAAGTCATTATGCTACTAAACTGGTCTTCCTTAACACCACCAAGCGAGTGCTTCAGCAATCCAGGAAAGACCGGTATTCACCAGTCCACGACACTTCAAACTGTGTATATCAATTTAAGTTTGTTTGCGGAAGCATTTAGACAGATCATGCACAAAGGCGATTGTCTGCTAGCATGATAGGAGTATTTGCCAAGGTGCCGAAACGTTAAATGACAAAGCATCTTGTGGACTACGTTCATGATATCGACGCTTGGTCAAGTCATTCACTATTTACAGCGGACAAACAAACAAACAAACTGGAAGATGCTTGCAACTGAGAAGGAGACTTGTGCGACTGCAGTTTATAAACTAGGTCTCTGTGTACAGAAGGAAATGGTGGTCACTCTGAATCTACCATGTTTTACTTATTAACTGTTATTATTACCATTATTATTTTGATATTTTATTCTACCTCTTATTACTGAACTATCTTTTATCAGTACCAATATCTTAACTCGTTTAGCATTATTGTTATTATTATTATTACTATCATTACCATCACTATTATTATCATCATCAGTATTATTCATTGTGCAGTTCTTGATATATTCCAGTTGTTTGTTTGACAGCTAATTGTTTATTTAAATGATGCAACTGAATTGTAAGGCAATATTGTCTTAATTTTTTTATCTTTTATACTTCCTTTCCCTTATCTAGTTGAATATGACCTGAAATATACTCATATTTGTCATATTGCACGATTGATTTAATGAAGTGTATTTATTTACTAGTCTTACATTTTCAAGAATTGGTTTGTAAGGATTAAGTTTGTTCATACAAGTTTGACCGTGCACGGATTGATATCAGTTAGAGAAACATTGAAAACCAGCCACAGGGAGTACTGCCAGACAGCTGCTGTTTCATCCTAGTTTGGGAACCATCGGAAGTACGCTCCCGCCGCCATGGTTCGAACTCACGGCCTCCCGGTCACAAGGCAAGCTGACTCGTATGCTATTCAGTCACTGGGACCGGACTGATCCAATGACCAGTTCATCAATTCTAATTTCTTCCAATTCGTAATTTAGCGCGTCTATCAACCAATATCATTGGTGGGAAATCGATCCTGATACTTGAGTGGTTGGACATCACTGGTCATGACTTCACACTTACATATTATATTTCCTTAAGTAATTCTAACAGTATATGTATATCCCTGAATATAGAGTATTCGGATGATGAGTACTACTACAGGAATTTGATGAATTCATTCAATCCTGCTTTATTAACCTTTATTGTTTGTTTTAAATTCGTATCGGGAAATAAATGTTTTCAATTCTTGAAGAAGAAACAAAATTGAAAAAATTAACCATTAACAACAACAGACGACAATCAGCCAGCATAAATGGGAGGAACCTGAAAGAAACAACCTCCTTCACCTACCTACTTAGGAAGCATCGTTTCAACTATACGCAGGCGGAACTGACGAGGATATCAAAACCAGAATCGGAAAAGCAAGACAAGCTTTCATTACTCTCAAGTCTGTGTAGAGGTCAACAGCACTCAGCATGAAAATGAAAATAAGATCCGGATTTTCAACTCCAATGTGAAGCCAGTCAGTGCTACTATACAGATCAGAGACTTGTACTGTGCGTCATGAAGAGCATCTCAAACAAACTTCAGACCTTCATCAACAGCTGTCTTCGCTCAGTACTCAAGATCAGATGGCTGGCCGGAAAAGATCAGCAACAGGGATCTCTGGGAGCGAACCAACACAGCAGGGACCGATTGTGAAACGAATAGGCAGAAATAAATGGAGATGGATTGGCCATACACTGAGGAAACCATCAAGTGACATCACTAGACAAGCCATTGCTCGAGTGGAACGTGAAAGGGAAGCGGTGAGTTGGTCGTCAGTGCGAGGTTGACTCGGAGGAGGTCATGCGAGGAGGGGGTGAAAGCATGTGGGCAGACTTGGAGCGGGGTGAAAAAGTTGGTAGAAAACAGAAGGCAATGGAGATGCGCAGCTGACGCCCTATGTTCCTCTAGGAATTAAAGGATATAATAATAATAATTTGTAGTGTTTGTACACGAAATGACTCTCATAACCTGGAAGACAACAGTCTTGTCTTCGAAATAACTGGTACTGGGTTTGAATGTCTGTGGAAACACTGTCACTGACTAGGAATGCAAATACATGCAGTCAACAAGTCTCGTGGATTTCGTTGCTAACCAGCATTGACTGAATAATAATCTCGTTAAATACCTTCAATATTATTTATTGTTTATCAGACTTACTCAGTTACATTACGATGACCAGTTTTTGTTTTAATTTCTTCTGGTGTAGGTCGTGTAAAATCAATAATTGTTGCGCAAATATCATCTTTAATGAATAAGGATAAATTTTGATTCAAGAAGAAGTCTAATTTTTGATATTCAATATACATTTGACCTGATAAAATACAGTAGAAAAAGAAAAAAACAGAAAATGAAGAATATATCACTAAGTTTTAATGAATTCTACTCGTTAACTATTCGTAACACTGATAACTTTGACAGTGGAAGACTTAACGAAGTCTTTGAAGGGATGACAGGCGTAAGACAAGGCTGTCAGCCTACTGTTACCCATGATATTTTTGAATGTAGCGGACTAGGTCATATGTCACATAATGCGATGGGAGAGGATAGAAATACATGTGCCCAAGATTTAGATATGATGGAGAAGATTTGTAGCTCAGGTGGATGAATTTAATATGGTTGTATTCTCTGATCTGGACGGTTTATATTTGAGAAGCTTTCATTTCCCACAACTAGGCAACATCTTCAGCGCGCATTCTTCAATTTGAATTGAGCTTGTGAGCTTGTAGATTTCTCCAAGAGTTTATTAGTCGTCTCTCCTGATGAGTAACCTTGAAAGTGATTGGTTGTTTTGTGTGTTTTCACACCCTCTACGCTACTTGTATTGGTTGATATAAGATTGTTTCTTTGACTTGATCCTTTGTGTGTGAGATTTCCTTCTTATCAATTGGTAAATTTTGTCTATCTCAAGTGTCTATTGATTAATGATTCACTGGAATACCAGCCTGACTTCTGAAATTTCTCTAGCATTCTTTGTGTTTCCTCTGTCTAATATTTGGACGTTGATTGTCCCAATCGAATTGATGTCCATGGTTGTCTGTATGCAGTGAGTGATATGAGCGAGGGAGTGGATGTCATGTCTTTTCACGGCTAGCTTATATTCGTGGATAGGAAGACGAAGGGGACGTCTGATAAGATTGGAAACAATACGCACAAAGAGTCAAAGTTCAAGTCAAGGAAATAATTAACACAGGTGCCAATACAAGTAGCCTAGAGGGTTTGAAAACACACACAAAAAAAACCAAAGAGTCACGTTCAAAGTGACCAGGAGAGATGACTAAAAAAATTGTGGAGAAATCTGAAAGCTCACTTCATTTCAAATTGAATTATGCACTGAAGATGTTCGCCTAGTAGAGGGCGATGAAAGCTTTGTAAATAAACCACCCAGCTAGCTCAGAGAACACAACCACACCATAAACATTGTCCCAAGAGAAAGACTATAGAGGATATGAACTTTTTGAATGATTTATGTTTAATGTCACACAAAAAACTCGAATGACTACAGGCGAAAACCAACAGGCTAGCAGAAAAGACAGGCAACGAAGACAGGAATTCAAGTAAACATGAAACAGTAAGCACCAGTCATTGTCAATGGAAGAAATTTGAAGGTAGTCATCAGTTTTAATTATCTAGAAAGTATCTTTTCAACCACAGGTGACACGAAAGGGAAATATGAAAGATAGGGTCAAAAATGTAAGGGAGATGTTTATGGCTGTGAAATCGGTGTGGAATTTAGCTGCACTCAGCATAATGCATCAGACTGGGATTTTGAATACCAGTCTTAAATCACTCACTTCTTGTATTTGGTTCGGATACTCTGTGAACACGTCACAGAAATCATTTCCAACAGGCCGAGGTGAGCTTGGGTCGTATGGTGAAATGAAGGAAATGAGAGCTTATGGGGCTATGATGGGGCCAACTGAAGAGGAGGTGTGCTGCTGAAAGCCCATGTTCCCTTCGGAACCCAAGGGAATAATAATACTGATGATTCTGTTTGCCAGGATACTTTCACTTTTGTCCGAAATTTTGAGAAAATTTCACACATACTACTAATCTATAGGAGTAGTAGTGCTTAGCGATGAACAAAAATGGTGTGCAATACATAGTTAAAACTTGAAAGAGGGGATTTTATCAACTGCATTGTTAAAATATACATTTAACAAAGTTTATTTTTTAAATTTTTGAGACAAATATAATAGGTTTGTTTACGAGCCAACATCAATCAAAGAACCATTGGAAAGCCTGGAAATAATGCACAGCTATTTCGTCCTAGTTAGGGACTCTTCAGAAGAATGCATCTACCGCCAGAGCTCGAACTCAAGGCTAGCTCAACAACTGGAATCCTATCGAATAGCCAGCGGATGAATTCGAACTACTGTGGATGCAAGATATCTATAGATCAGCAGCCATCCAATCTCATAGGCGAGTAACTGATGTCTTGCAGTACTTCCGGGTTTTCCAATGATTGTCTACCTGATGTCAACACGTGATCAAATCTGTAACCAATCATATCCCCGCAAATCAAAATTTAACGAGAATAAGTTATTATAGTGTTATTGATGAATGTAAATCTTACCAGCAGTAGTAAATTTTATAGGAATATTAGACTTCCTGGCCATAAGACAAGTAAAACTTGCTATTAATAAAATGATGATTGTTGAACGAATCATTCTGTTCTAATCCTTTTTATTGAGCTCTGAATATAATTAAGAAAAAAAAACAAACAAGTAACCATTAAAAGTTTGAATGAGTAAGTATCATTTAGATGCATTCAAAGTGAGTTATCAAGTCGGCTGTTATATATTCTTTACTGAGTTTTCAGTGAACCTGTACTTCATTCATTCTACACAAGATATATTGATACCTTGAATAGAATATTAAAAATGCCCGCCACACTTAATCCATCTTAATTTGAACGTCTATATGCATTGAACTATATCAATTTCATTTCATCTATTTAAACAAAAGTCAATTACTAAGTTTTCACTATTAGCAACGACCGAAATTGTCTTGCTGTGGTTTGAACACAGGAAATCGATCTTTGAGTCCTACTGTGTAGCTGTCTATAACTTTCTTGAGACAGACACAGTCACAAAACGTACAAGGATTTAGTTACTAACCTCTCTCTCTCTCCCCCTACCTATATTACTTCTTAGAATTTGAACCCTCTCCTTCCCACCACCCTATTGTGTGGTTTTGTAAACAGTGCAATTACCGAGCTTTTTCTAAATGACTTATCTTCGTGAGTGGGACCAACCAATCTAACCTTAGGTAAATGCTTATATTTCGACAATCCGACTACCCCCGACCTACTAGTTTGACCTATGTAGTAGACCGCACTCACAGTCGTTGCAAGGTATTCTGTAAATTATATTATTTTGTTTAATTGGGTCAACCGACAGGGTTCTTTAGCCTACATAGCTTGTCCTACCTGAGTGAGTTTGTAGGTTTGAATGCAGCTCTAATTCCTGCTTTATTAGGAATCCTACGTAGGGAGAGTCTCAGATGTCCCTTCTGTATATGGTAGAGCTGCAGATGCCTTACATTCTCTCTTATTTATGTTATCATTATTAGTTTCCACATTTTGATTGTGACCTTTTTTAGTATTCCTAATGAATTTTATGGGATAGTTATTCAACACCAGCGCTTTTTCTATCTGTTTTGTTTCATCTTTTAGGTCTTTTCTTGTACTATTTAGTGCTACTGCTCGGTTTGCTAGACAGTTAACGAAGCCTGCCTTCACAGATAACGATGGATAAGACGAATTAAAGTCTAAATATCTATTAGAATGCGTTGGTTTTTTTTTAATAAACTACAGTGTGCAGTCTACCTTCTTCTATTCGCTTTATTTTACAGTCTAACATAGCTAATTCTCCTTGTTCATTTTCCGATTCAAATATGAATTTTATTCCCTTTATTAGTGAGTTAATATGTGTTAAGGAGCTAGAGATATGTTCTGTTTTTAACACTGTGAAAGTGTCAATCATTCACATATCTCCACTATATTTTTGGAGTAGGATTAAATGTATTAAGAGTCATATTTTCCCAGCTGGCTATAAATATATCTGCTAATATAGGGAATATTGGTGATCCATTCCATTACTATACCTTCTGTTTGTCTATCTTTAAATTCCAAGGCATTTAATACATTTAATCCTACTCCAAAAATATGGTTGAGATATGTGGATGACGCTTTCACAGTGGCACTGAGACAATCCGATATCAGAATCACCTTCATTCACTCAAACAAAATTGCAGTCGTAAAACATCATATCATCAATGCATCACTCAACTACAAAGAGAAGCGCCTAAATTACAGATTAAACAGGGAGAAAGCCAAATAATAAGGATGAAGTCTACGTTTGGTATGCAGATGTTAGTACTTTGATACACAGACTAAGAGAAAAGGAGATAATAATATAATCATAAGTATAGATATATAATAATAATATTAAGTATAAATATTGCGGTGCGTCGGTGGTATAGCGGTTAGGACGCTCGCCGACCATGCACATGGTCCGGGGTTCGATCCCCAGCCGACGCACTGCTTTACCTCGCTGAGCCAGAAATAATGCTGGTGAAGAGGAAAAGTAAGGCATGTGGCTGGCAACCCCATCCTGTAAAATAAACACTGCTACAGAAACTTCAAGTCACTAGCTTGAGGTCCTGTGTTCCACTGGGGAACGTGAAGGAACAAAAAATAAATATTGTAATTTGATCATTCAGAAGGGATTATTAGAATAATTATTCCTCTGTTGGACTGTATCATAAAATAGAAATGGGATGATTGAATGTCTTGTACTTTATTATGATTATTATTATTCGTACCATGCTTTCCAACTGAAATGTGGGGCTTCAGCGGTTCACCTTTACTGCATTTGAATCTACGTCAGGTTCTGTTGACTACCTCGATGCTTGCCTATGAACTTTTATCTACCATATGGATATAATCTTCGCTATATCACATACATATATTCACACCCCACTCTTCGTTTCGTACTTTTGGTTAAATCCAAACGCCTGGCGAAAGCTGTTACTCAATGATCTCCCCAGGGTATGTTTTAATCATCTCCACTTTCGTCTGCAGATTTGTTGGACAATCGAGTTGTTGACTAGAGTTCTTTCTTGTTCATCATGTCTATCCGGCTGGCAATCTGGCAATCATCAGTATCGAGTTAAGTGTGTCGTTGTTTATGACCTTTGACAGTTATTACAATCAAAACGAATATTAAATATTCATTTGATATTTAAGTTAGCACTGAGAACGTTGTCAAGGAAGACATTGAATACTTCACGATTAAATCATCCAAATCAGAGAACAAACGCAAACACATACACACGCACACTCACAAAAATCATCAAACTACTTTAGATATGAACCTTCTCCAATATTTATAAACTTTCCAATTGATCAGTCGGACCGAAATGTTCGGCCTGTGTTGACATGTCGGCTACTTGTACGAATGTTTTGACGATGTGCGGAGATTAACTTGAAGTAATTTGATAGATGGAGATTAGCAGTGGATTCTGCCTGGGACTCGTCAGCTAGCTGGATTTACCTGGATTTCCCAAGGAGTGATCGTATTCTCACTGGGGCTAGAACCAAATACCCGTAGTTTCAAGCGTTAGAGCGTTATGCACTAGACCACTTGGTTGATGAGAGCCACCTATTTCTTTTGGAATGTGTATTGGTTATTATTTAGTCCAATTTCGACTCTTCCCTTGACTGACGAGTCCCAAATAAGACGAAATAGCCATTCTGAATTCTAGTGTTAGTCACCATCCACCATTTTGCTTCGATATAAATAATCAGACATCGTCTAATCATCTGCACACGGAGCTGATATGTCAGTCAATCAATGGGGAAGTCTAAGTTGAACTAGATAATAACTGATCCCCGTTGCACAAGAAAGAAGTGGTTCATGTCACCCATGTAGTCTAGTGGAGAACACTTTGGCGTTTGAATCTATGGGTTTAGATTTCGAGCCTTGGTGAGAACAACATCACTCAATGGGAAATGCAGGGACATCGAGCTGGCTGATTAATCCCAGGTAGAACGAAATGTGCATCCTGGTGGAATCCAATGCTAGTCATCATCCAACAATTAACTGCCATTCAAGTATTGGTTTGTAGTGGTTTGATTGATCGGTTACCGGATTTCATTACGAGCGGATACTGGCCTAACGAGCTCACCTTGTAACCAGAAGTTACTGGGTTTGAACTCTTTCGGTGGATGGTACTGCTGAAGTGTCCCAAAATAGGAAGAAACAGCTGTTCAATGCTCCTAGGCTTTCTAATTGTTCTCTCTCTCTCTAGCCAACTGCAGCTCATGATGACATCCTGTAAGTACCATTTAGTTGAAACACAGATCTCAAAACAGAACAAATAACAACTGATCATATATCTTACAAATGTACATTTTTTCAAACAAACAACAAAGGTAAATAAAGTAGGATTTAGTGAAGTCATCGAATTTCGGTAGAACTCGTCAGTTGAGTACTCTATATACTGGGATATATATATACTGTTGAAAATACTTTGGGAGATATAAGAGTGACAAGAAAATAAACTACATTGAATTAATCATGCAGAAAGACAGGTGCTAATGTTTTCCAGGTCATGTTCAAATAGATAACGGGAGAGGGAGTATTAGCGATTAAAATTAAGATAAAATACATTACGCCTCAATTACGCCACTTAGATAAACAGTAAGTCATTAGAGAATATATCAAGTACATCAGTACATCTTTTCACTATACAGTAAAAATAATAATAATAATCATGATTTACTTTATTCCAAAGAAGTACTTATGATACAGTATGGTAATCTCAGAAATGGGTACAACATTACATCTAATATACTCAACAATAAGAAGAACAAGAAAACATTACAGGGCATAAGTAACCGAAATTGACAGTAGCAACTTTTTGGCATCGAAAGTGACGATAAAGTCAAAAATGTATGAAAAGTGCTAAGAAACTAAAATTCTAAGATCATTAAAATAGTGTCACCATAATCTATAAATAGGAGAAGATCAGAGAGCTTTTTATTGTACTAATTACACAGTAAGTTATAAATTTAACTCCTAACACCTTCTTTGTCACATAGAAAGCGGCTAGGTCAAATACGGTAGCGTTGAGATTTTTCACTTGGTTGTACGAACATATAATGACTCAAGATGGGGAGAGTTGTGAATATGGGAAGGTATTAAGAGTCAGAGAATACGGATTTAGACCACTTCTCATACGAATTCAGGTGTCTGTCGACCTTAAGTAGTAACTAGCTGACTTAGTGGTGGCACATTACTTGCCCAACTGACAAACTTTAATACCCTTCTCCTCAGTAGTGATTTAGTCGAGGAAAGACTAACGGGGAGAGCAATAAAGAACAATAGGTGAGATTTTAGGGTAAAAAACTTTAAAAGTACAGGTTGAGTGATACCTGACTATCTTAAATTATTAATATCAAAGGTTAAACTGGACATTTTCTTAGAAATCGACAAAGTAGTTAGCAATCGGGTACTTTATCAAGTTTAATGACCATTATAATTTGTAAACGCATTTAACTTACTTGAGAAAGAAAAGTTCAATGAGTTTTACACAGCATTTATACCACAATTTACTTGTCATGCATAAAGTGCCCCGTGTTCCCTTCCTGTAGAATAAAATCACTCAATATAATCAGCACAAGTGACATTTAAAATTTGGAAAGGTATTCATTACACTGACAGGAAGTTCTTAGTTCATTCATTTTATGATTTTTAACCTTGTCTAACTGAATATTGAATTGATCGCAGAGTTTGCTTAAGGTTTGAGAAAAAATTATACTGACGACTAAGATTTGAGTAGCTGAAAGATTTCAGAATAGAAACTGGCCATTGTGACAGAGTATAATTCCACCAAACTGAGCAATACCTCTAAGCGGTACATCATAAAAGCTACAGAAAGAAATGAAAAGACAGATAGAAGTAGTAGCATCGGTGTTGAATAACTATCCTATAAAATTCATTAAAAACATTACAAAAAGCTCACAAGAAAAGGGAAGATAGCAGCGGAACTGCTGACAGTTCTATCTACTAGTACAAGGAATGGAAATCTGAGAGCTGACGCTAGATTTTTAATAAAGCAGGAATATTAGTGTAGCATTTAAACCTACGAACTCATTGGAGAACAAGCTCATTAGGTTAAAAGACTCTATTAACCCAATTAAACAAAATAAAGTAATTACACATCGGATCAGTAAATAGGAGTTACATGAATTAACGCAAAGCCACATAGTAAGGTGGGAAAGAGTAAAAATTCGAGAAAGTAATATATGTAGGTGGAGAAAGAGGTTGCATCTTTCTGAATCTTTCTTCATTAAATTTACACAGAACAAATGGAACACGAATGACTCGACACCAGAAAAATTGCTACCAAGTAAATCAAAGGATTAGGAATAATTGAATTAAGCAAACAAAGAGTTAGTTAGTCGAAATTTAATTTATTTCAAGTTTGTCTACATATCGGTATCAGTTAGAGAAGGATTGAAAACCAGCAAGGAGTACTGGACAGCTGTTTCGTCCCATTTTGAGACTGGTTAGCATCCACTGGCTCTCGAAGCCAGGATCTTTCAGTTACAAGGCGAGCTGGCAGACCATTCAGTCACTGAGACTCAACTCAATTTGCCATGAAAAATTGGCTGATGTTCGCTGGTAACTAGCTACAGATCAAAGCTGCATGCAGTTCTTGTGAGTTGTAGTGACCTTTGCGGTCCATCCTGTCGCCGGTGACAGTGGCTGGTGGTCGATAATTCATAGAAGTTAGAATTCATGGGCTGGCCGTTCATTTGGGTCTCAGTGGCTAAATGGTCTACGAGATCGCCTTGTAACTGGAAGGTTCTGGCTTCAAATGCCAGTGGGTGGGTTCTGCTGATCAGTTTCAAACCACAATGAAACAGCTATCCAGTATTCTGTGCTTTGAATTATTTATACGAAGTCTGGTCAAACAGTATATAGTACACTGTTTTGTCGAGGTAATCTAAAGTCGAAAACGGTCTGTTTACTTTTTCAAGGCTAAGTTCATCAACTGTGTATCAGAAATTTCATAGCTACGATAGCTCGAAGTTCCATATATGCCTGGTATTCAAGTCACCTTCGCTTACTTTCAAAAATGTATGTTAAAAATGGGTAGGGCATTTTTGAAAAAAGTTAACGGAACTATCTCTGATTACTACAGAGAGGTCAGCTCGAGGAAAATTGTATCTGAAATCCTTGGACTGATAGTTCTGTGAAGACCTAGGGAATTTCTAAGAAAAATACGACCGACGGAACCAAGTATGTTTCAGGTTCGAATGACGCTGCACTGATCAAATCTTCTTCCAAAAAGCCACGCTTGCAGAAGACGGTTACGCCAACCAGTTCCTCGACAAAAACACGAAAGGTAAACAGTCCAAACTTGTCACTGACTGAATTCCAAAATAGAAACCATCTCCATGAATTTTGAATTCAGAGATGACGAGGCTTCAGATATGCTAAAAAATCGTCTCTCTAAATCATTCAAGAAGACGTTCTTTACTGAAGAAACTATGAATGAACTTCACTAGTTGTAAGTTGTTCTCCGTCCCCTTAAAAGAGAGGCTTTATCATCTAGCCATCTCCATTTGTATCTCTTATTTCACCTGCACTTGTGGAACTAGGCACATTGGCCGTAGCCGGAGAGCGCTTTCCACACGGATACGAGAACATATTCCCACATGGTTTTACAAAGGAGTAAGCAATTGCGTGCAAAGCTCCATTCGTTCTAGAAAATTTGATCGACTCCTGTCACTCTACCAACCATGACCATAATTTCAAGATCATCTACCAATTTCGTGCTAACTTGTCACATTTTGTCAGTCACAGACTTCTAAAGTAATCAGAGACCTTGGCGACTCATGAACTTAAGTCAGTTGCTATTATTCTCACTTTGAATTGTCTCTGGAATTACTTCAATGGTCTCACTTATCATTCGAAATCAAAGCAATAAATTTTATATTGCCAAATTTTACGAGATTTTATGCAATGTCTCTTATTCGACTACTAATCCTAAGATTTTATACCCCTTCCAACATCTATACATTCTATGAACTCTTCTATGTATGACGTTACTTGATTTGCTACTTGATATTTGGTATTCAACTATGATTATATTCACAAACATTTAACGGCATTTCATACTATTATTATTATGATTACTATTCTATGTATTCTCAACTTCAAAACCAAATTTACAGTTTGAAAATTGGTTGGCCATCTGCAATTTATACACTTTGAGTGGCGAAATTTCAGCGTAGTTTCCCATGGAGACCAAGCTGTTCCGATCACAGTATGTGATCAGTGTCTCACATTAACCAGAAGTGCGCTCTGGCCACATCGCTATTATGTAGACACCAGACGGGCATTTCTCCCTTTAGGGTCAACTTCATCAGTGGTTTATACTGCTTAACTCACTCCAGATAGCCAAGTCAGCTGAAACCGCCCGATATCTGGACAGTCACATGGTTGAACTAATCATATCATGGATCAGATACACAATCTGCGATTTATTCAGCTCAAATTGTTAAATTTCGTTTTGGTTTACTTTATAATTCAAATCAAAACAAGTGATTCAGAGAAGATACTCTTTTCAACAACGAGTTTATTATCAAGCTGCAGAATCGTATAGTAGTGGGGAAAAAGAATAAAAACAAAAACGTTACGTGATATTTTGTGTGAAATTTGATAACAGAGAATTTAACGTTGCAAAACAGAATTGATTTAGAATGATATATGGAACGAGTGAAATAATATCGGTGACAGTTCATAATGGGAAGAGTAGTGGTAACAATTAACGTAATAAAAGAATAAAAGGAACTTATCAAGGAGGACCAATGGAACTCTAAGGAAATTAATTTATGGAAAGCTATCATGGAACGGCCAACTGACGAATTTCTACCGCTGTGTACCCATCGGTTGAAAACGAAACCTGATTCGGTCGCTTACCACTCGCATTTTAGCGCATATTCATCCCTAATACTGGGGAGGATGAGTTAAATCTTTCGAGAAAAATCCTAATAGAAAATGGTTCTCCACCGCGTTTAATAGACACGGATATACAGTCAAACCCTATGAAATAGGACTAATCATCCGTACCCAAGAAAATATTGTACATGAACTTGGAATTCAAAGGTGACTTAGCTTCCGATATCATGAATAGAAAGATATCAAAGTCCCTGAATACAGCACAAACTGTCACATATTTGAGAATAGCATTTTACAGTCGGCCATTGCTGTTCAATAACTTGAAGAACAAGATCCCACAGTTGACCAAG